GGGCAGAAGGGTTGGAGGGGAAGGAAGGAAGGGGGCAGGGGTAATTAATGATGGATGAATGTGATGATCATTATTATTCAAAGTACAGGTATGAAGACACGAATTGGTGTGAATATACTATGTATACAACCAGAGATATGAAAAATTGTACTCTATATATGTAATAAGAATTGTAATGCCTTCTGCTGTCATTCATATATATGTATATGTATATATATATATATATATAGAGAGAGAGAGATAGAGAGAGAGAGAGAGAGAGAGAGAGAGAGAGAGAGGCAAAGAATATACATTCAAGGGAGAATGTGGGCTATCTCAAGAGTAAGAGATGCCTTTTGGGGGTTCCCAAATCCTTTAAAGAAAACTTGGTAATGAGTGGGTATGGAAAAGTATTTAGGAAAGATATCAGTCTGGTGATCTCAAGACCATGTATGGTGGTCAATTTCCTTAGGCTGATGTGTGTGGTCTTTATTATCTGATGGTTAGATAGTGCTGAAAAGTCCCCTAAATTATAGGTTTTTAAAAATGTCATCTCTTACTTAATCTATTTAATGGGGGCTAATTAATAATGCTCAGGTGAATCTATGAATTTCCCAGGAATTTGGGAGTAACAGACTTGGGAAAGAGACTGGTCTAGGGAATGACAAGCCTAGACAAGCAGAACTTCTGAATTAAAATCTCATTTCCTTGGCCTTCTTTTATGTCTCCTTTCACATATTTCTTGTTTTTTTCTATCCTAACTCATAACAAATGACAGAAAATTATTTGTGAATGAGAAAATTGGGATTACTACTTGCAAGGTGTCATTATGTGACAGAAAACTAAAGTTTGTCCTACTTGCTAAATTCAGTCATTACTAAAAGTTAGACATTTGACCTCATTCTTTTTTTTTTTTTGGTACTAACTACATGCCAGTCTTTTCTATTTTTTAATTCTGAGACAGGTTCTCATTGAGTTGCTTAGGGTACTGGTAATTTGTTGAGGATGGCCTGGAACTTGCAATTCTCTTGCCTTAACCTCCGGAGTTTCTGGGATTAAAGGTGTGCACCACCATGCCCAACTTGATCTCATTCTTCCTTGTTTGTTTTAAGACTGAGATAGAAGGGTTGGGTATGTAGATCAGTGGTAGTGTGTGTGAGAACTTGGGTTCAATCCCCAGCATTGAAAAATAACAACAAAAAAACCCAACAGACTGAGTAGTGAAATGACACTTCCATGGGTTCTCCACCTCTGGTTTTGAATGATCACTGGTGGTCATCACCGCAACAAAATAACTCGTTAGACTTTGGAAGTCCTTTAGAGGTCTCCTTATTCTGATTCAACAAAGACTAACATAATTAGTTACTGCTTACTCAAGGAAGAAGCTAAAGTTTACCAGACATAGTTCAGTTCAATTCAATCCACTCCATTTAATATTTATTGCATTTAAGCTTTGTGCCAGTCAGTGACCTGGGCACAAAGGATATAGAAGCTGCCCTTGTCCTCCTATTGGTTAGACTAATGTCGCTCCAGGGCCCCCTAGTGGTAGACAGTGTGGAATGTACTGTAGGAAGTATGTACTACAGGAGTTAACCAAATAAAATGTTAGAAATGGTCCTAGGTAAACCGGGTACACGCTTATAATCCCAGTGGCTAGGGAGGCTAAGGCAGGAGAATGGTAGGTTTAAAGTCAGCCTCAGCAACTTAGCAAGGCCCTAATCAACTTAAAATAAAAAATAAAAAGGGTTGAAGATGTCGTTTAGTGGTAAAGCATCCCTAGGTTTAATCACTAGTACAGAAAAAAAAAAAAAAAAAAAAAAATCCTGGATAAGTATCAGCTTCAATCAAAAGGATAAGTGGGAATTGCCCAAATGAAGAAGGAAGATGGAGTAATTGCCAGGCCAAAAAAATAAACTGCTAGGGTGGAGAGAAGAAGTATGCAGATGGGGCATTACACTTCTGCTGAAATACTAATCCAGTTTTCACCTATCTACTCTTCCACTTTCCCTTCTATCTCCAGGTTTTTAGCCTGTAGGTTGACCTCTTTCCTCCTAATCGTCCATTGTTCTAGTGGAGTTTATTTGTAAATTTAATGCAGGAACCAATAAACAAAGAAAACAGCTAAGGAGTAGCCAGTGGAGCCTGGAACCAAGCCTACATTACACTTACAAAAATCTGACTTTCCACAGAAAAAATATTTTGACTTTTACATTTTTGGACTTCATTAGAAGGATCTGAAATGGATGACACCAAGCTGTTTGCCTAAAATAATGTCCCAAATCTGAATTGGCATGGATATTTCCTGAGATTAAAATAGAAACTTGTTTTGCTAACAGAAAACAACTTGGAAATCAAAGAGTCAGTTTAAGTTGGAACCATTTATTTTTCCTTTTCTTGCAGAAAATTCCTGTTTTTACACACATGGAGAGATCAGGGTAGTAAGGTCATTCTGCCACAGAAGTTTCCATTAACAATTTGAAGTTGCAGAAACCTCAAAAAGAAAGGGGGAGGGCTTGTAATATAAGAAATTCATAAATTCATTCAACAAACATTCATGAACACCAACTATGTGCCAGATACTGATCTAAGCACTAAACAAAGATACCTGCCCTTGTAGAGCTTTCATTCTTGCGGGAGAGGGTGGGGGTGGGGTAAACAAACAAGAAATAAGCAACTTATTCAGTAAATAGAAAACGAATAGTATGAAGAAAAGACAAAAATAGGGTAGGGGGCATCAGGAGAAAGCAAGTTTCAATTTTCGAGAGTGGTTACTGTTGGCCGCCTCAGAGAGGGGGCATTTGAACAAAGACTGAAGGAAGTGAGGATGTGAGCCATGTATGCAGTTATCTCGTTTATGCAGAGGAAATAGTCAATGGCCCAAGGAGAGGGCATGCCTCGAATGTGCTAGAAAGACAAGGAGGCCTTGTGCTTGGGGAAGAGACAGGAGAAGCCATTTGGGGTACGGTTAGAAAAGATGAGTGATTTGATCAGACTTATGTTTTAACGTGCCTTTTAGGATAATCATGTGTTTTCATTTGAACATAGTCCTTTAGTAAGAACTTTTTTACTCTGAAACCACAGAGTAATGATTACTTAAAATGGTTTCTAAAGGATCCCGCAAGATGAGACACCACAAGATTAAGTAGTAATGGCCCTCTCTTTCTGGCGGGCATTTGCCCCTAGAGGGGCAGCCGTATTCTAACGTGCTCCGAGTTGAGCTGTAGGAGATAGAAACATGTCTGCACATTTCTTCAAAATTCGACTGGAGAGTCAAACATTTCCTTCTGCTGGTTAAAAATTATATATATATATATGCCTTTGCCAATTCTGCGGGAGAAGCAAACTCCTAGAGTTTGTCTTCGCTAATTTGTCCAAGTCCTGCTGTGGTTTCACTGAATGCAGACACTGCTCAGCTCCACCCCACAAACCTTTCTCATCTCGGGCTTCTCTGCCCTCCGGTGAAAGCTATGGTTCTTCACTGCGGTCACCACCTGTTCTGGCGAAACCCGCGGGGCGTGCACCTACGCCTCGGACCCTTTTTCTTCCCTGCTCACCCTTCCCTAATGAGCACCCTATTTTTCTCTCCCAGGCCAGGTTTGCAACTTTTCTACCAGCCTCGGGCTCGCCCCATTGGCCCGCCAAGTAGAGACGCTGGCTTCCCATAGAATAAGAGCCCCGGAGCCGCAGGAGCTGCTGGGCCCCTGGGAGGGGCAGAGAACCCCCACCCTGTGCCGAAGCTGGGAGCGCTGGGAGTCAGGCGCACGCGCCCCTCCCGCCCCTAGCGCCCCTCCCGCCCCTAGCGCCCCTCCCTGCGAGCGGTGCAGCTCCCCCTGCAGCGCCTCCCCTCGCGGGGAGGGAGCCGGAGGGGGCTCACGGAGCCGCGCTGCAGACCTGCTCCGGCTGCGCGTCGCGCCTCTCTCCTTCCAGAGTGGCAGCAGGAGCCGAGGCGGAGGCGGTAGGGGGTTCCCGCGACTTGCAGTTTCTCTGGGGAGCTGAGGAGGAGACTGCGCCTTTCCCCCGCGCCCAGCAACCTCAACCTGTTCCCGGCGCTCGGCGACTCTCACTCCCGGGACTCGCCGCCCAACATGAATTTCCCCCTGGCGCTGGTGCTCCTGTCCTCGCTCTACCTGCAGACGGCTGCCGAGTTCGACGGGAGGTGAGTTGGGCCCCGGGGCGCCCTCTCCTTCCCGCGCTAATTTCACACTCACAGTTCTGGGGCTCCACTCCCCGTGGGGTTTACGCAGCGAGAGAAGGTACTCTCTGGCCCAGAAGTTGGGCCACCGCACAGGTTCTCGGGAGTATAGTCGTGGAGCCTCTCCGAGGGCCTGCCAGGGACTGGAGAGGTCGCGCCGGGTTCGAGTCCCGGCTCCTAGAGGGTGGTTTCGCGGCTGGGCGAGCGGCTCACCCCCGCTCAGGGCTCGGGAATTGGGACTGGGGGAGAAGAGAGGCTGGAAACTAGGATCACAGCTTGAGGGCGCGGTTTCGCCTTTAAGTAGAGGTGACGCCTGGGACATCCCTTGACCCGGGAACTCGCTCAGGATTTACACGACGCTTCAGTGGGGAAAGTTTCAGGTGACCAGAATGAAATCACAGCTCGGAGCTGTCAGGGCTATCCACACGAAGACTGCGGGGAGAAGAAGCGACTGGGTTACCAGGATCTGTTTGTCTTCCCACTTGGTCTTCTCCAGGGAGGGGTCTCAAAATAAAGACACAGTGAGATGCTACTAATGAGTGTGCGTGTGTGCCTATGCCTGGGTATGCGAGGGCGTGTGTGTGTATTCGTGTGTGTGTGTGTGTGTAGGGGGGAGGCGGCGAGAGCTCACACCGCACTGCTCCTCAGACCTCCGGCGAGCCAGACTGCTGCGTGCTCTGACAGGTTCCAACAACCCAGGGATCAGTCTCCGCTGTCACTCAGCGGGTCCTTCGGTTGCAGCGCGCAGCGCCCTGCCGTTTCCCAGGCCGCGGGATCCTCTCTGGTGTGCGTGAGGGGGAGTGACAAGAGTGTGAGTGTCGGTTAGGAGGGCGTGCTCGGTCCCTTCACCTCCTCGAGATTCCAGACCAGATCACCTTGCGCACTGATGGCTGCTGGTGGAGAGGTTTTGCCCTGGGCCACTCCGCCATCCAGTCGCCCTCCTAAAGCGCCCCCCTTTCCCCACCCACCTCTGTTTGTCTCTGGCAGCCCTGAAGATGCCGCACCTGTTTTACCTGCAATCTCGGAACGAATCAATCGCACGATTGATTGGCTTTCTTGTACCTGTAGGGGAACAGAGGGGAACCAGTGGAGCGCTGAGAAAAGCTTGTTTACCACCTGGATGGAGGAAATAGAAAGTCGGGGGTTATTTTGTACTTTGGGCCTGGGGGTAGAAAGGGCAGGTAAAGCAAAGGAAATTGAAAAGCTAAGGAGAGTTTAAGGAAAAGTGAGTAGCAACCAGAGGTTAAGCCTTTTTATTTTATTTTTTAAAGCATTTTTTTGCCTACATTTGTGTATGGTGTGCATTCCTTGTACACACATTTACAACAAAAAATACACCATGTGTTAGGCACACAAAATATTAATGTAGCTTTTAAAAGATGTCTAAAAAAGCCAATTAAAACGTTAATCTTCCTAGAGGAAAAAGTCACTTAAGGGAACAATTTAGCAAATAACATATCCAAGTGTGATCTAGTGAATAAATCTGTATCCTGAAATTGTATACTTTCTTTAGGTATTATTTACCTTGGAGAGGAAAATAATATGAGTTGTTGATACAGGCAAGTTTCAAGCCATAAGGTACTTGAGATGTCAAATACACCTTAAACTCTCCTTGGTTTTGTTTAGACTTTTTTTCTAGTACAATTTTTTTTCTTTTTCTTTTTCCAGTTATATCTCCAAAAGAGCCCTGTTGCTTTTGATTTTTGAGGACTCTCCTCTTTCTGCCCTTCCCACATCTGCCATTCATATAGTAAAAATTCTTTCTTTGACATGTCTTACATTATTTAATATTTTTTTTAGTTTACAATGAATCAGTCAAAACTGGCTCCCTGCCCCCATAACAGGTGTGAGTCTTTGAGGAATCTGTTTTATTTCAAGCTTCAAAAACCACCCTGTGAATGGCAGCCTTGAGGATTCTTGGTTTTAGCTAGTGCTCTTTCTAGTTAAGAAAGGATCTTCTCCCCCTTTATACACTATCCCTGTGTACTTGGTGAGGGTGTGTGTGTTTAACTGTCAGAGGATTGAAATTGGACCATAGCAGAACTATTTCTGTGAAGGTGTTTTATCCTTAAATTTCTGCAGGCATAAATTTTAGAAAATTGTGGATGTGATCTAAAACAATAACAAAGAGGGAATTAGTTTTAAAAGTGTCTTTGTTTATTTATATTTTTTGTTTGTTTGTTTGGTAGGTGGCCCAGGCAAATAGTGTCATCTATTGGCCTATGTCGTTATGGTGGGAGGATTGACTGCTGCTGGGGCTGGGCTCGCCAGTCCTGGGGACAGTGCCAACGTGAGTATCAGGCTGGGAGGTGGGCTTTATACCATCATTCAGTGCTTCACTCCACATATCGGAGAGCTCATAATTTCTGAGCAAGTCTTGGCTGTGCAGTTCTGACATGGGTTTTCAGATACAGTATCCAATTGGTTATTCTGTACCTTTCCAACCTGAACCACCTATATTAAGAAGCTTTGTTTTTCATGGGGAGCCATCTAAGATGTTCATTTTAGCATTTGTCCCCAATATTCTCCACCTCCTATGTTTTCAACCAGCTTATACCATTCTTTGTTCCAGGTTTTGAGATGGGGTAAGATAATGAGTCTAGACTGTATTTACACTAAATAAACTCATAATCTTAGAGTACCATAACTGTAATCCTCACCATAACTGTTGTGTAAAGTAGCCCATTCATAAATCTTTTTTGAAGAGAAGTTGTATTGACAATGCTTTAAGCAGACCACCCAATATGATCAGGAAAAAAAAAAAAAACTCTGAAAAGGCATTATTTGTAAGTTCTGCAAATCAACCTCATGTAAAAAAATATTAAATCAGAACACTGATTTCTGTCCCCCCCCCCAAAAAAAAGTGGATATATTAATGGTAAAAGTCAGAGCTATATCACAAAAAAAAATTAGAACTTTGTTTCTAATTTTACCTAGATCTGGATCTCAAAATTTTATCCCAGTCTTCCTGCAGAACAGTCAAACAAACTCCAAAAGATGAAATAAACTTCTGAAGCATCTTTAGGGTACTAGATTTATACATCTGGTGAAATGATGGGAACCAAGTTGAGTTTCACATTAGGACATAGACACTAACAAAGAAGCAGCTTAGATGAATAGAGTAAGATTGTTGAGACAGGTAGTGGAGGAGCCTGTCTTAGAGATGGATTGGCAATGTGAAGATTCAGGTAAATTTAATTTCAGGAAAGGCAGAACTTCCTTCAGCTCTTTAAACTTTTTTTTTTTTTTAAGAGAGAGAGAGAATCTTTTTTGTAGATGGACACAACACGATGCCTTTTTTTTTTTTTTTAATTTTTATGTGGTGCTGAGAATCGAACCCGGGTACTGCCCCTTCTAGGCAAGTGCTTTACTGCTGAGCCACAATCCCAGCCCATCTTTAAACTTTTAAGAATGCTTGTGATGTTTACCTTAACTTTGTGAAGGAGGGGAAATGAGAGTTAAAGGTTGATTCTAATTGCATACATAGCCTATTGTCTCTAATCAGGAATGAGGTGAAGGGAATAATTCTTGTCTACCTACTATGTGCAAGCCTCTGTGTAGACCCTTTGCACAGATGGTCCATTGCCTCCTGTTAAAGGGAAATAGTGGTAACTCCAATTTCCAGTAAATGAAAGAACTAGGCAAAGCTCAGGTGTCCCTACTGATTAGTCTGTTCAGTTTTGAAGGGTAAATGGTCAAAAAGAAGGATAATACCTGATGGAATTTAGGCTTCTGCCAATTATATCAGTGTGTCAGAAGTATTTACACAGCTGGAGGCCAACAGGTGTGGAATCTGAGGAACCACCAGGCTGTAATAACCAAAGGGTAAAGAGAGGATCCTTCTGTTGGCCCAATACATAAACATAACCCTCCCAAACAAAAATGGTTAGTCTCTTTGCAGGAATTGAGATAGTGTCTTCCTTCTTTGCTGCTGTAATTTGCAGGAAACTCCCAAATCAAATGTTGAAATGCCTTGAGGTTCACGCAATCTCCCAACCCCACCCAAGACAAGCCTGCTTTGGCAGAATGCCCTGGACGGCAGTGGAGTGCACCTTCCCAAAGGCAGCCAATTGGAGCACGCAGGCTCTCTGCCAGGTGTGCTAAAAGAATTCCAAGCAGAACACTTCTCAGATCTCTGAGAGGTTCGTTGATATGGAATTCCCCAGGAAGCATCTCTAGGAGCTGTTTTTTCTTTTTTTCTCTATAGAGTAATCAAATTTTGTTCAATATGTGCTAGCTTGGTAATTCTGAATCTGAATGAGTGCAGAGACCATTCAGAATTATAGAAGCATTATAAAACAACCATTCAAGAGCTTTTCTAGGGTTTTACTGTCTACATAGGAGCTTTCCTATCAGATACAGGACACTTTTATTGTTTTTATACCTTTATTTTGTTCTTTCAAGTATGATAAGTTGTCAAATATAGTATTTGATAGTACTTGTCTTTTCCCTCTTGTTATTCCTTAAGATCCTGAGAAAACTGCAACATGGTATGAGTTAATTATTGAAATGGTAATGCTAGAAAAATGTATAAGATAATTTTGCAAAATCAGTTTGTTTTCATTTGGTAAACGTTTGAAAGCCAGAGTGATGCAGAGGGACTTGCACACTGTTGCTAGGTTGCCTGGATTTCATTTCCAGTTCTACCTCTTCTTAGCTATGTAGCCTTGGACAAGTAATTCAACTTTTCTGTGCTTTATTTTCCTTATCTCTAAAATGAATCCAAAGTTGTATATAACCTCAAGGACCATCCCAAGGTTTGAAAGAGTTATAATTTGTACAGTACTTAAAACTATCTTTGGCACTGAGTACAGACCACGTATGTATTCAGTAAAGTTAAATGTAAAGAAACACTGCTACTGAAAACAATGTTGTGGAGGGACATCTGTGCAGTCAGAGTCTTCATTTGTTAGACATGATATATGCATTTTTTTTGCATTTATGCTGCACAAATTAAAAATCCTTGCAAAGTTCTCTGTTTCAATAAAATAAAATTCTTTAAATTAAAAAGGTCCAAATTGTTCTTTACCATTTACATTGAGGATGGCAAGGTTGTACAAATAAATCCAGAGATGCGTTTTCCTGTGTATTTTGTTTCCAGAATCTCAGATGGTCTAAGTGTCAATTCAGAGTTCTGCCTATCTTTGTTTGGATATAAACAGGTAGAGGAATGTGGGGGCAAGAGGTCAGCTGAAAGGGTAGGTCGGCACTAAAAAGAGGCTGGGATGAATGGAATATTTCTGATTGGTTTTCGAAGAAAACCATTATGAAATTATAAGCTTATTACAACATTTATTCAAGGAAAATGTCTGCTATTCTGTAACAATTAAATTTAGTAATGGATTGTCTATTTAAAAAAATTCCAAACAGCTTTTAGGAAATTTAATTAAAAAAATACTTTTGGCTTTTTGACCCCTAGATAATTTCAACATTCTTTTCCATGAGGAGCAATTTCTCTTCCTCATCAAAAGTGCCCTGGTTCTCTTTCCTTCTCATGACTCACTTTGGAAATTTTTTTCAAAACAGTGTAGCGGCAAGGCTTGGTGGTATACACCTGTAATCCTAGCAGTTTGGGAGGCTGAGACAGGAGGATCACAATTTCAAAACCAGCCTTAGCAACCCTGTCTCAAAAAAAAAAATTTTTTTTTAAAGCAAAAGGGACTATTCCCACCCATGCTCAGAACCTCTCAGTTATTTCTTATGTGTGTACACAAATGGGTGGGAAAGTAGTACCCTTATTATATTATTTATTAGACCTTATGCCCTAGTGCAGTGATAGTTTTGTGAATGTTTATTCCATTTGGTTGCACATTTGTGAGACATTTGGCCCAATAGTCATGCAGGTCAGATATACACATCTACACAAAACAGGACGCATTTCATTTTTACTTACTATCCTCCTTTCCATGGACATCTTTGAAAAGACTAATACTGTAGGTTGCTCTAGTTGGTAAACCACCCCTTCTGGCTTACTATGTCAAGCCACAAAGCCACATTCAACTGGGGAATTTCCATTCCTTCCCTCTAAGGAAGGATGGATCAGAGGTGCTACCCAAATGGACACAGAATATGTTCTCCTGCTTCCTGCCTGTACCACCCAATATTCTGTCCCAACATTCCTGCCCTGCTGGGAAAGCATGATCCATTCCAGAAATAGGAAGGTTGTATTTTCATAATTCCTTTTTAGCTCATATTCTTGACTTCTTTCTATTCTTTGATTCTTTGTTTTCTGTTCTTGACTCATAAATAGATCTCTTGCATACCCAAAATTCAAAATTTGATTTTCTAATTGTCATGGGCTTTCCTTTTATTGAATGTTAATGTTGCTCTTTATAATATCAAGGTTTTTTATTATTTCTATACATTTATTATTACATGTTGACAACACACAGCACCTTAATCACTCAGAAATTGTCACAAAATACTTCTGTTTCTTGCTTTGTAGTTATTTGGTTCTTTGACTTTTCCATAATCTTAATGGCACATTTCATTTTAATTATGTTAACTGTTTCTCTTTCCCTACTATGTGGATATTTCTGTAATAGAGATTTCTCAGGGGTTTGTATGTTTTATTTTAGAAAGCTGTGTATGCTGTGGAAACAATTCTTTACTAGATAATTTGGGACACCTAAGTTCAAGCTTAGACTTTTGTCCCCGATTAGCTAGGTAACACTTTTTAGCTACAGTTTTCTTGTTGTACAAGTATATTTCCAAGGTACATTATAGATCTAAACTCCATCTGAGAACTTCCTAATGGCAAAAAAGAACATGTAGGATCTAGATGCTGTTTTCCTGTATGGTTGACTTTCTCTTTGCTTGGAGATTTTGCCATATGTGTGTGGCTTATGACAGTAGTATTTTGTTGTTGTTGTTGTTGAAAACACTTTCTAGAGTTGCAAAGAAAAACCACTAGTTCTAGGTTCAACAAAGCTATTTAATTTCTGAGTTCTTTGGCTGTCAGTGAACATTTTGTGATTTCTGAAGGAAATAGTATGAATAAAATGGTTTTATCTCATTTATCGTTAAAGACCAGGAAAAATGCAGGTGTTTTGTTATATATTTCTGCTAGGGATTTTGAGAAGATATAAAACCAACACCTACAGTTCACTTTGCTTTTTTAGTTCTGAACCTCATTTCCTCCTGTTTCATCCCCAAATTTAATAAAGGCTACAACTGTACAAATGCCATATGAAGTGAAAATTTAGATTGTTATCAGCTTTAGCTAAACATAGATTCATGAAACATAGGGACTGTGAAATAGTAATTCATTTTGAAACTATTTTGGGTTGT